TACTGTTGAGTTTCTGTGGTGAATTTTTCATTTCATGTGTTCTTTCAACTTTAAAATTTCCATTTGGTTCTGTTTTATACATATTCTAAGTAGGAAACTTTTTAGTACCACAATACCTCACATTTACTTTTTTCATGCCTTTTTCATTGGCCAAAGATTTGAGCTATTTCCAGGCGTGGTGGTGCATGCCCATAATCCTAGCACTTGGAAGGCAGGAGGATCACAAGGCCAGTTTGGACTAGGCAGGTGAGAGTAGTTGAGAGCAAGACAGAGACAGAGAGAGAAAGACAGAGAAATATATCAACAATATGGACTCTAAAAATAGGTAGAAATATCAACCAAAGTTATAGCCTTAATAAGACCAACTTTCTGATGCATTATCAAAGAACATCTTACCCATTAGACTGTATATACTATCTAACCACCTAATCCATAGGTAAATTATATTCAGCCTCCCTTCCTAGAATCTTTTTGTTACTTGCTGCTTTCTAACTATGGTTATACCTAGAAATTCACTGCCTCCCAATAAACAGGATTCTAAATAGGTTTCATCTTTCTCTGAGGACCTCTAGCAATTACTGATGAATTTCTAAAGAGCTAAATTATAGAGGTTTTCATTTTTTGACAGGATCCCACCATAATAGCAAGGTTGGCCTCAAATTCAGTCCTCCTGTCTCAGTTTCCCACATAGTTGAAGTTAAAAGGTGTGTACAACTGTGTCTGTCTTAATTATAGGTTTTATTTTGTTTTGTATTACAAATGTAATGGAGGACTGAACCCAGGGCTTCAAGTATGCTAGGCAAGCACTCTACCACTGAGCTATATCCCCAGTCCTTTTTTATTCATTTTCATTTTGAGACAGTCTTGCTAAGTTACCCAGGATGGCTTCAAATTGCAGTCTTCACAGTTCAGTCTCAAGAGTAGCTGGGATTACAAACCTCCACCAATATACCCAGTTTAAATTTTAAGGAGTTTTTTGAGAGGGAGTGATTTTTTATTTTTGTGTGTTGTTTGGTTTGGGTTTGGGTTCCTTTGAGACAGGGTCTTGCTGTGTAGTTCTAGCTGGCCTTGAACTTACTAGGTAGTCCAGGCTGGCCTCAAACTTGTGGCAATTCTCCTGCCCCATCCTCAGGTTCTGGGATTATAGGCATGTGCCAACATGCTGGCAAAATTTTTAAGTTTTAAAACTATATATAAGGCCAAGTAATAGCAAACAGTGTGTACTATTAGTTGGAATATAGAAGGTGGTTTAGTCATTCTGGAACCAGTCATCCTGGACCTAAGTCATACTAAGACAACTTGAGATACCAAAGTTGTCCAAAGACAGTTATAACTTGGATTAAAATATTGTAATAATTTTGAGATATTTTGCTTCCCAGATACAACTTCCCCTAAATTTATTAAGTCTGTAAGTTATGGGGCCTGGGATTTAGCTCAGTGGTTCCACTTTCTGCCTTACAAGCGCAAGGGCCCAAGTTCGATCCCGGTACAAAAAAAAGAAGTCTGTGAGTTATCTCTTTTCTTTGTGGGGATACTAGATATTGAAACTAAGGCTTATATATTCCAAGTGTACAGTCTACCCCTGAGCTACACCCCAGTCTCCTGGTTTATGACTTATTTTACTGTTCCATACTAGTTCTCTATGTCTGCATTTCATTGACCCTGGTGAAAATCAGCCCTATGAGTCATACTCTAAATTTCATCTCTAGGCCTCTACCCCATATTCCTTGTAACTTAGCTATATAGTAAGTACAAATTAAATCCTAATAATTATAACTTCTCATACAATTTGGAAGGCAGACATATAGTAAAGACCATATTCCTATATCTCTTGGCTATTGTTATTGTCAAGAAAGGTCATGGTCCTGGGTACAGTGGCACGTGCCTGTAATCCCAGTTACTCAAGAGGTTTAGGTAGAGGGATTGTAAATTTGAAGCCAGCCTTAGCAACTTAGTGAGACCTTGTCTCTAAATAAAGAAGGCTAGTAGAGTGCTTGCCTAGCATGCTCAAGACTGTGGATTCAAACAGAAAAAAAAAAGGTCATGGAACTGTGAGATCTTCCTATATCAGTATTCTAATGTCCATTTCTAGCTTTATAGGTTGAGGGGTAGGTTCAGTTGATGGTGAAAACTCCTTGCTTCCAGCAAAGCTGAGAAGGAGGCCTCAGAGTTTTATTATTAGCCTACTGGAACATTTTTACATTTGTTTCTGGAGAGCCCCAACCTGATACCATTCCTTCTGCCTCTCAAATACCTAAATGCCTTTATCAAACTTTTCTGATGTGCTGGGTTGGAGTTGCATGGGGATATCAGAGCAAGAGTTAAATGTAGTCAGGCTACTTTCTCAGAATTCTGATATTGGTATAAGTTCTTTTTTCTTCTTATGTTCACCTTAACTTCATAGAACTCTTGGGGGTTTGTTTTGTTTTGTTTAGAACTCTTGTTTTTTGTGGGTCAGGAATTTGTGGAAGCTTTTGCTGTATAGTTCTGGATGAAGGTTTCTTAAGCAGTTATAGTCAAATGGTGACTAAAGCTAAAACAGTGGGTGAGAGGAGCTTCTGGGAGATAGCCAAAAGTCTGTTGCCATTTGGTATCAGAACCTCTCCATGTGGTCTTTATACATGGACTCATTGGGGTTTCTCAAAACCTGGTGGCCTCAAAGTAATCAGACTATTTACATGGTGGCTGAAGACATCAAAAGAAAATAGTGTCATTTGGTTTTTTTTGTAATCATCTTTCTCCATGTGTCTGTGTTATTTACTGGTCAGCCAATAATTTACCAGTGATGTTCAAAATCCTGGAGCCAAGAACGACTTCATTGTTTTTTTGTTTTGTTTTGTTTTTTGACACAGGATCTCACTGTATTAAAGTCCAGGCTGCCCTTGAGCTTTGAGTCCTTTTTGCCTCAGCCTTCCAAGTACTGGAATTAGAGGCATTGCCACCATGTCAACAAGGACTTTATATTATGCTGTTAAATCTGTGTGTTGATAGGGAAGTTTAGTCAAAGTTCAGGCAATTTTTAGGTCTGTTTTGGCTTTTACTTCTCATTAGCCTCAGGATAGGCCAGAAATATTTGGCTAACAGCCTCTTGAATCTCCCTTACTACACAGTCCATGCTTGCCTCAGCTATACCCACAACTTTTGACTTGTAGAACCTTTGGCTCTTTCTACTTACCTGCCTTTGAGATCATCATTTCTACCAACTGTATGGCTGAATGTGGGCCTTACCTGCCACTCAAAATCAAGTAGTAATATCCCTCTTCCATGAGGAAGACAGTTGTTCACAGAGCCTGTCCCTTGCTGGTAGGCTGTGCTCCAAGTATGAGAGGAACTGAGAGTAGCTTCACATAAGAAAAACCACAAGGGCCAGGATTTAGCTCAGTGGTTCTGCTTCCTGCCTTGCAAGCACAAGGACCCAAGTTCGATCCCGGTAACAAAACAAAACAAAAACCCACAAATCACACTGGGGATTTAGCTCAGTGGTTCCACTGCCTTCCTTGCAAGCACAAGGTTCTGAGTTCCATCCCTGGTACCAAAAACAAAACAAGAAAACCACAGATCTTTGTTCTAACAAAGTTCAACAGTTCTGTAAGTATAATTGCTTCTGTTGAATGCCTTTTGTCCATTTCTAGAGTGCTGAAGTGGTTGTTCTGTCCAGTTATATAGCTGCTTTAGGGGAAATTTCTTTACCTTGTAGTCAGAATTCCCACCCCTCAACTCACTTTGTTTTATATTCAACTTTACTTCCTCTGCCTAACTTCAAAATTTGGAAGGCCCAAAAATTCTTGCCTTTAGTGAGATTATTCCTACCTCAGAAAGATAAGGCTTTGTTATCCAGGCCCAACAATTAAGCAGAGACTAATACTGTTTCCTACAGTGTGGAACTAGTATAATATATTAGGCAATTTAAAATATTTCACAGTCAGATCCAGAGCAGTGAGAATCCAGGCATGGTGGTACATGCCTGCAGTCTCAGCTGCTTGGGAGGCTGAGGCAGAACGATCAGGACTTCAAAGCCAGCCTTGACAATCCTTTTTTAAAAATAATAATAGTAAAATTAAATTTAAAAGGAATGAGAAAATTGCTCTCTTTTCAAGTCTTTTAGTCTCCTGATTCTACCTGGGAAGAAGTCTCAGATACTACCATATTTTAAAACCTCTCTTTAGCAGGGTGTCGTGGCACACATCTATAATCCCAGCACTCGAGAGGCTGAGGTAGGAGGGACAATATGAGTTCAAGGTCAGCCTGGACTACATGGTGAATTCATGGCCAGCCCAGACTACATAGCAAGTCCCTGTCTCAAAGTGCTACTCCCTTATTCTTCCTTTTTTTGGTGTGTTACCCAGTCTAAGCTCCTGGGCTCAAGGGACCCTCTTGGCTCAGCCTTCCAAGTAACTAGGACTCCTGGTGCACATTACCGTGTCTGACTTCTTACTCTTCTTAGGGAGCATACCAATCCTCTGGCATTAATATCTAGCTAGAATTTTTTCATTTTTCTTTTATTTATTTTTATTAATAATCTGTGTAAGTCTGATCTAAAGATTGTCCATCCTAGGGCCAGGGATTTAGCTCAGTGGTTCCACCACTTGCCTTGCAAGTGCAAGGACCCAAGTTTGATCCCCAGTACCAAAAAGAAGAAGAAGAAAAGATTCTCCATCCTTTTCTTCTGTCTGTGTGTTTGTGTAGGTATGTGTATGTGTGTGTGTGGTACTATGAATTGAACCCAGGGCCTTGTGTATGCTAGAAAAGCATTCTACCATTGAGCTAAAGATCCCTTTATAAAAGAAGTTAGTAAAGAAATTTGACATGCATAAAATTATAAAATAAGTAATAGTGGATTTGGACCTTATCAGAGTCATGGATGCAGAAGATGCAGGTAACATCTTGTATGTACTGGTATGCATTTCATTACTCTGTGCATGTATTTGAGATAGAGTTCAAAGCCTGTGCTATCGAGGTATTGTTTGTTAACTCAGATTTTTTCTTTTCCCCCTCTGTAGTAGAGCACATGATCCAGAAGAATCAGTGTCTCTTCACCAACACCCAGTGTAAGGTTTGCTGTGCCTTGCTGATTTCTGAGTCCCAGAAGCTGGCACATTACCAGGTATGCCATTGTAGTTCAGCAGTGCTTTATTTTTCCAACCCATGCCAAACCCTCACTTCTCCCTGACTTACATGGTGAGAGGTAATTCTTTCTTTGCCTTCATGCTTATCGGCTTGTACTTGAAGACTGACTTAACTTCCCTGAATCTCATCTCACCTGTCTATATCAGAATCCTTATATGTGTATCTTTCTTTGCAGCTTGACATAGTAGAAAGTATGAGGCATAGCTTTAAATTAACCTAAATTTGAATCACAACTCTGTTTCTCATCTTGGGCAAGAAACGTCACCATTTTCAGCTTCAGTTTCTTCATATAACAATTTTCTCATAGATTGTTGTGAAGATTAAATTTAATAGAATGTAAAGTGCCTTTCACAGAGTAGGAACTCAGTAAACTTTCTTCCCCCCACCTTCTCAGAAGCTTTTGAGAGGATAAATTGGATAAAAATCTAATGTTTTTGAGTGCCTTCAATATGAAATGGCATTTGGCTATCTTTGATCTTTTTCCTGGGTTCTTGCAGAGCAAAAAACATGCCAACAAAGTGAAGAGATACCTAGCAATCCATGGAATGGAGACATTAAAGGGGGAAACGAAGAGGCTAGACTCAGATCAGGTAATACAGCTGCCATGCTGAGACCGCTCACTTTCTGATGAAGCCAGCAAGCAGGTTGGTGCGGTTAAAGAATCACACTGACTTGGCTACAAATCCCAGCCCTGTTATGTATTTTGGCCAGGTCTTATTATTTCTCTGAGCCTTAATTTCTTCCTCTATAAAAATGAGGATAACATCCTTTCAGGATTTTTTTCTAAAACAAAAAAAGTTTTATAAAAAGCACTGAACACAGAACCTGGCACATAGTAGAGACTCACTAAACGGAACTATTATTATATATTACCATCCAGTGGTTTGGTGGATCAGGGCAAGAAGCTGCTCAAGAGAAAGCAGAAGGAAGCCAGGCTGCATACTTTCTTGAGAGTGGTGAAAAAGAACTGAGTTCAGCACTTGAATGTTTTGGATAAATTAGTAAAACCAATGCCTGCAATGATTGAGAAGTAATTGCGTTTATTTTTTGGCTCAGAATTACTATGAGGATTATACTGAAACAATCCCTAGTGCCTCAGGAGTTCCATAATATTTTTTTTGTGGGAGGCTGTGGACTTCATGGAAAAGAAGTCAGTACACCAGGCTCTACAATTTACTGAGTGTCTTTGGGCAAGTTATGCAGCCTCTCTGAACTTTACTCATAAAGTGGAAATAATTCCTGCCTCTTACAATACTCTGATCTAGGTGTGGTAGTGTCCACCTGTAATCCCAGCACTTGGGAGGCTGAGGCAAAAGACTTACCATAAGTTTGAGGCCAGCCTAGGCTACATAGTGAGTTCAAGGCCAGCCTGAATTACATAGCAAGACACTGTCTTTTAAAAAAGAAAAGAAAAATACAAACAAACAAACAACAAGATACTATGAGGCAAAATTCCAGTTCCTTGTAGATGTTTAATAAAATAAGAGTTTACTGCCTTTTATTATAGGAGGCAGTGGTTAGATGGACAGAGCTCGTTTGTCCTTGGAATTCACTGGATTCATCCCATTTGCCTTTCTTGTTATTTAGAATTCAGGAAGGCAAGATCAACTCTGTGACCTTGAACAAGTCACTTTCTCTAATTGTACTTTAGTTCCGTCAACTCCTGTCAGGGTAACTGAGTAGTTCAAATGAGATCACAGTACTCACCACCAACAAAGAATCACTGAGGAGATTCCGCCACCTGCCTTGCAAGCACAGCGACCCGAGTTCGATCCCTGGTACCAACACAAAAAGAATAACTGAGCCAAAAATATTAATAGTACCAACGTTGAGAAATGGAGAATGAATACCCTGTTAAGATACCATTTTTTTCAGAAAAATTGGCAGTTCTTGACAGAGGCTTGAGCCAGGGATTTAGCTCAGTGTGCCTACTCTCACAAGCACAAGGTCCTGAGTTTGATCCTCGGTACCAAACAAAAAAAAAGGCTTGAAATCATTTTCTGTCCTAACCATAATCAGGAAATAAAACCCAGTGATGTTCAAAGAACCCTGGGCATCTATTGTATGCCAGACTTCAGCAGTGTATATAAGGTTAGGAAACGAGGAGGAGGCAAACAGCCCATGCCCAAATGTTGTACTTGAGTTCTCAGAAATGTCTCCTAAGCTATGACACTGTCAGTTTAGGGCAGCAATGGTGAACCTTTTAGAGTTTTCAGTGATACAAACACCCTGCTATGGCACACATGCCATTGGTTTGCCACTACTGGTTTAGAGTAGCCAGAAGTATAGTAAAGGACTATTTAGTGCTCTGGGATTACAGAGGAAAAGCAACATTTATTTCTCTTAGAATGCGTACATAAAGGGGCTTAATAACTGTTTGCTAAATGATTTTTTTGAGTAAAAATCTCCCAGATAAAGAGCTAATATTTAAACTGGGCCTTTTGAAGTCCAACAAATAATACCAGGCAGGAAAAGAGGAACATTATAGACAGTAAGAATAGTCCAAACAAAGCAGGGAAGCAACAGAAAACAAAGTTGGGAACAATGAGTTGAGCCTGGGACAAAGTAGCTGGAGAAGAATCCAGTAAGGTAGGTTGGGAGTTAATATGTGAAGGGGATCTTAAATGCCCAGTATCTTATGGGCAGTGGGGAACCATTGAAGATTGACTGGCTGAGTAGTGGCATGATCAGACCTATGTTCTTTCTCCCAACCAGAAGAGCAGCAGAAGCAAAGACAAGAACCAGTGCTGCCCCATCTGTAACATGACCTTTTCCTCCCCTGTTGTGGCCCAGTCGCATTACCTGGGGAAGACCCACGCAAAGAACTTAAAGCTGAAGCAGCAATCCACTAAGGTGGAAGGTACTGGTTTTCCTGAGTAGTGCTTTGTTGGTACCCCTCCTGTCCTCTGGGCACCGTTGACAGGTGCTCCCAGAAATGTTCATTGGGGCCACGGACGTGGAGAGGTTGGACTGCTTTTGAGAGCCCTTGAAAATATCAAAATAGATCTGCTTCATTGGAATACAGCCTTAGAGTTTTGCTCATCTGACCTCCCTTTCTTTGATTGTATCAGTTTTTCTCAGTAGAAGCTTCTTAGCCTAAGCTTTTGTCCTGACCAATAATTATAATTCAGAAGGGCCAAAAGTCTTACAGGCCATGCACACATAGATTTTTTTTTTCTCTCCTACCATCCACCTGCTTTCATTACTGTATGTTCCAAGTTAAAAGCTAGATCTTTGTCCTTTTCCATGTGCTCAAGTTATACCCTGCTCACTTTAATCCTCAAAAGCTGCCTGTTCCCTCAAGACAGGGACTTGCCTTTCAAAGCAGAATACTTCAGTGCTGACACTACTGCCCACAAAGCTGTCTGCACCTGCCATGGATTCATTCCCAGTGCAGTGACTTCTAAAATAGCCTCCTTTATCTTGTCACCACTGGGTCTTTGCCCTCACTTTCATCTCATTAACTCCTGACTTGCTAGGGTTTTTAACCTCTGCTAACTGTTATTAGTTAAGAGTGGGAGTTCTTTGATCTTTATTTCATTTTCTGCTTGGTAAATTTTGCTTCTCTACTTTGAACCAAGAAGTAGACCACACTAATATAGTATTTATTATTCTTTTTTGTTTTATTGTATTATGAAAACAACACAAAGATGTTTTGTAAGACTTTGATGATAGGGTGAAAAATCACTTATAATTACATTCTCTTGTCATGTCTATTTCTAGTTATTCATGATATTAACAATAAAATATGGACTTTGAAGATATACAAGCCCAGGTTTGAATCCTGGCTCTGCTGTTTACCATTTGTATGACTTATTTGTGTTTGAATTTTCTCACCTGTAAAATGTTAATGCTGTTTACTTCATAGATTATGAGGATAAAATAATGTACATTAAAAAGGTAGTACACAATAGATACTCATAAATGACAGCCTCTCCTATTATTATTATTGTCACCATTAAGATAGCCAGTGAGGCTGAGCATGGCAGAACATGCTGGTAAATCCCAGTACTCTGAGAGACTCTGGGCGATTTGGTGAGTGAGCACAACCCTGACTCAAAAAATAAGCAACAAACAACACAGCACCTGCCTGGTATGCACAAGGTCCTCAGTTCGATCCCCACTACCAAAAAAAAAAAAAAAAGTCAGCAAAAAGGGTGGAGATTGTAGCTCACTAAGAAAGCCCAGGGTTCAATTCCCAGTACAACCCCCCCCCAATAAAAGATCCAATGAGTAGAATTCCCTCATAAAATACCATAGCTGATTGGACATCCAGCGCCTGGAGCATGCTGTTGGCCTTGCCATTGGTTGATTCATCAGTAATTTATGAATGCTGATTGTTTTTGCTTAAAGTTAATGTTCATACCAATATGGTACCACAGTGTTTAAACATAAGGCCAAGGAAAAGTAGCTTAAGAACTGATTTTTTTTTCTTTTTTTTTTTTTTTTTTTTATTGTTTTTTTTTTTTTTTTTTTTTTTTTTTTTTTGTACCAGGGATCAAACTCAGGTTCTTGCACTTGCGAGGCAGGCAGCAGAACCACTGAGCTAAATCCCCGTCCCTAAGAATTGAATTTTAATTAAGTCATGGACCTATCTTTCCACAAATGGGAAAATTCTCTGGATGCCTGATTCCAAAACTTGCATACTAAGGATGTTATTTTCCATATTCACTTTCAACCTTTGTAACATGAACATTTGTTTTTATGTAGTTGTAATCATAGTGCATGAGTCATTTGTATTCTTGTACTTTCCATTTAATTTTTACTTGAAGCGTATTTCCATGTTATTACACATTTATAACTCTAATCCTGAAATTAAACATTTTTCTAATATAAAAGTAATATAAATATATTGTAGGAAATATGAAAAATACAGAGAAATGGAAAAAAATTATCATAATTTATCATTCCATGATAACTACCATTAACATTTTGGAGTACTATTTCTCCTATAATCTTTTGTTGTTTGTATGTATGTATATCTGTTTGTATATATTTGTTTTATGTGTATGTAGATAAATTGTATGTATATGTACTTATAAACACAATGTTAACTTTTTTATAAAAATGACACACACTCATTGTAAATAATTCTAGAACAAACAATGCAAATGATGCCAAAAAGAAAGTAACCCAAATTCTACCACCAAGAGAAACACTGTTAATATATGGGTGACATTTCAAAATGCCAGTATATATCTATATACTGGTGTCTTTTAACAGTGATATGACCATATTATAATTTCTTTTTCTATTTTATCACTTAATGTAACATTTGTATTTCCCTATGTTACTAAAAACTTTTGTAAGCATTTTAAGTGACGATATTATACTCCATTTAACAATTGCTCTCATGATGAACATTTACCCTACCCCACTATTCTTGGTGTTATAAATGACACCAACAGTGGACATCCCTATGCAATTCTCTTTCCATATTTCAGGTTATTTCCCAAGACTCCATACCTTTCACTGGTTTGGGATGTCCACTAAGCAGTTTTTCCAGCTTTTCTTAACCATTCACCTCTGATGCTCCTCCAGGCAGGTGCTGTGTCGCTTGGTGTCTTTCAGACAGTGATTTTTCTGTCTTTTTGTTGTTATTGTTATTTTGCAGTGCTAGGATTGAACCCAGGGCCCGGCGCATACTAGGCTAGCACTCTTCCACTGACCTACATTCCCTAGCCTTATCTTTATCTCTCAGTGACCATTAATATCTCTTTTCTGATTTCAAAGAAATTATATTCATCGTAGAAAAATACTGAAAAATACTTTTTAGTCTCTATGCTTTTGATCTTTTTTCCATGCAGTTATGTATATGTTTTTGTTGTTTTTTAAAGTTGAGATAAGAAAAAGATTGTTTTTTAACTTGCTTTTTTTTTTTTTTTTTTTTTTTTTTGCACGGGTTCACCTCTTCTGTGTAGCCCAGGCTGGTCTCGAACTCCCAGCGATCCTCCTGCCTCAGCCTCCCGAGTGCTGGGATTACAGGCGTGCTAACTTGCTTTTTTATTCAACAACACAAACAATATTTTCTCATGAAATATTCTATATTTGCTTTACTTTTTCAGTGACATATTGAAACAAAGTTAATAGCCAGAGAAATTGAGATTTCCTATGTTGGAAAACTGTTGTGGAAAAAACTAGCAAACTCTTCTGGCTAAAAATCCTCAATACATCCCAGCTGAAGTAGGATAGGGATGGAAGGGCATCTGAGTCATCTTCTGTCTGTGAGTGCTGCTGAGCCCCACTGCTCCTCTGTTACTGGTGGGGATTCTGAACTCCACATTTTTCTAGCAGTGGTTGCTAATTTAACACCATCCTAGCCACATGGACTTGTTACTGAGTCATAGCATCCACTTTTTAAGGTGGATGCACAGCTTGCAGTTTACATCAGGACCCCTGTGGACCCACAGGAGGCTCACATATATGCCCTCACCACGCTCTGATTAACTGAACATTGAGCAGAGTCAGGGATGTTCTCTGAGGATGAAAACTTCTTGCCATATTCTGGAGGCTTGGTAAAGAAATTATGAGCTTTAGGGCCACACAGACCTGGGTTCACTCACTAGTTAAGTGATCTTTAAAGTCATTTTACCTTTATGAGCCTCAGTTTTTATTTGTAATGTAGCAGAATGATACAGCCTTCATTGGGGTACTCTGAGTAGTAAAGGAAAAAATATATATCTAAAATGTGTAACTAGGGCCAGGAATTTAGCTCAGTGGTTCCACCACCTGCCTCGCAAGCAGAAGGTCCTGAGTTCGATCCCTGGTATCAAAAAAATATATATATATGCAACTAAATGTTAACCTCTTAGCCAGTTGTGGTGGCTCATGCCTGTAATCATATCCTAGGGAAGCTGAGGCAGGAGGATTGCCATGAGTTCAAGGCCAGACTGAGCCATACAGTGAGTTTAAGTCCAGCCTGAACTACATAGTGAGACCCTGTCCCCAAAATAAACAAATGTATATATGTATGTTATCCTCTTCTCTCCTTCACTCAGCTTAGAGTGTAATGAAGCCTAGAAGACATTGGTAGAATGCTGCCTGGCCCTGTATAAGTGTAGAACCTCAATGTCTACACCAGTGCATTGGTGCTACCTAGGTCTGTAATTGGGATGCTTTGAGGATAGGAATTAAATACCCAGACTTCTTATCCCACTTATTCCTGTGAAATTCCAGGAAGTCGTGGGATAAAAAGACTACACATGTGCATCTCTATTCCATTTCAGTTTGGCAAGTTGGTGGCAGAAGTTCCAAACCTCTTGAGAGTGAAAAAGGAAATCAGGAATTTGTGCCGAGAGTAGTTAGAGCTGCTGAGATAATTCATTGTTCTTTGGGCTCCTCCATATCTTCCAGTTTTCCAATTAGAGAAGGTGTTTAATTCACACAGGCAGTGCCACATCTGCAGGTGTGATTAACTAGTGATACTGCCTTTCTTTTTCTTCAGTGTACTGGAAAGCCTGGCACCTTCTGGGTTTTTTCATTGTTTTTGTTTGAACTCTCCCAGTACAGCCCTGTCAAAATGTCTTACAAGTCCTTTCATTGTGTCCTCCACCTTAGCCTTGCACCAGAATAGAGAGATGATAGACCCAGACAAGTTCTGCAGCCTCTGTCATGCAACTTTCAACGATCCTGTTATGGCTCAACAACATTATGTGGGCAAGAAACACAGAAAGCAGGAGACCAAGCTCAAACTCATGGCACACTACGGACGACTAGCAGACCCTGCTGTCACTGACTTATCAGGTGAGAGGGCCTAGCTTAGATCCAGAGCTGGATCAGAGCTTGATCACTGGGATTCCAGGATCTAGCCAAATCTTTGCTTCTACTCTTTAGGTCTTCTAAAGGAGAGTTTGAAAACTCACATGCCTGCAGAAGTGAAGCAGGACACTTTTTCTTTAATGCTCTTAATGTTGCTAAGAACCAAACCCATACCTTCACACTTGCTAGGCAAGCACTCTACCGCTGAGCTAAATCCCCAGCCCTGCCTTTCTGAGGCAGGAAGTAAGTTTGTTTGTTTGTTTGTTCATTTTGGTACCAGGGATCGAACTCAGGCCCTTGTGCTTGTGAGGCAGGTGCCAGAACCACTGAGCTAAATCCCTAGCCCTTGTTTGTTTTTATTGTTACCAGGCAAGAAATTTAAATGGGAGCCAAGAAGGAAGATGGTCAGTTAAAGAATGCATGCTGCTCCTAGCCAACTCTAGACTGCTGTTACCAAATATTTCAATTTTTGAAAAGATCATTGAGAGCCAGATTTATACAAGATTTATTTCATCAGTGCTGGGGCTCAAGCCTAATACCTCACTTGCTAGGGAAGCACTCTGTCATTGAACTATGTCCCCATTCTAATTTCTCCAATTTTTAAATGTGCAACTAAATTTTTTTAACTTTTGAGCCAGACATGGTGTTTTATACCTATAATCCTGCCACTTGAGAGACTGAGGCAGGAACATCGTAAGTTCACAGCCAGTCTGGGCTACATACCAAGTTTAAAGCTAGCCTGGAATATATAATAGAAAGACCCTATCTCAAAACAACAACAGCAAAAAACCCAAGCATGCTAGTCCCTGCCAGTAATCCTAGCACTCCAAGACAGTGAGTCAGAATGATCACAAGTTCAAGCCCAGCCTGAGCAATTTAGCAACTTAGCAAGACACTAACTCAAAAAAATGAAAAAGAGTTGGAGATGTAGCACAGTGCAAAGGCTCTGGGTTCAATCCCCGGTACCCCCCCCAAAAAGCGTTTTTAAGTACTGTATGAGTAAAACCGTGTCCTTGGGCCAAGGGCCATCAGTTTATAACCTCTGCTTTAAACTCCTTAAGTGTTGTCCATATTTCTTATGTGAAAACCTCAACCTCTACCTCTTCCCTCAGCAGCTGGGACTTATCTGTATCCCTGGGATAGTGTGGTAAAGAAGAGACATTTCTGGCTCAGAGAATATTGGTTATATCCTTGACCTTGAGATGTTAGTCAACATCGCAGGAGTAGGCATTCACAAACAATTAGGGGCCCTAACTTCTCACAGCCTATAGTAAATGTATCTGTGTGTAAGCTAGGGGAAGGTTATTTTCTCATTCAGTCAGTAAATATTTATTGAATGGCTACTGTATTCCCTCATTGGAGTATAGTAGTGACCAAGACTGACACAGTCTATGTCTTATGGAGCTAGAGGAGCAGGAGGGCTTTCTCGGGAGATAAGACACATATTAAGAAGAACAAATAGATGCTGGGAGGTAAAAATATAAATGGAAAAATAGGAGATAGAGCACTCTCAAGGCATGTGTGTAGCCTGAAGTTCTTTAGCAGCCAATGGAGGTGCAACCATGTGGTTGACACTTGAGATCCCCTCAGCATCCAGGTGTGGAACAACTTGGCCTCAGGGAGTCTGCTGCTAAGAGTCATCTGTGCTCTTCCCATAATCATAAAGGGATGATCAACCAGATACCATAGATGTTCCAGACCACATATGGGCAAAGGGAGATCATACTTCTCTACTCCAAACACCAAAGCCAACTATACACACAGTAAGGCCACCTAGACCATACTCACATAGATGAGACAGGTACAAAGCAGTGATCAGGGAGCATAGGGAAAAAGACTATGGGGCAGATCCTTTAGCAGGGTGCCAATGTCAGGGAAGACCCTGCTATATAGACCTTTTCCAGACTGGAAAGGGATAACTGTTTCTTCATGTAGGCAGGGATCACTTCCATATGCTAAGGATTCTGGAAACTCAAGCACCAAGCTGCTCAGAACCCACTTCATAATGCTATCCCCAATTTTTTTTTTTTTTTTTTTTTTTTTTTTTTTTGGCCTTGGTAGGAACAGAATTATATCCAGCTAGCTTGACCAAGGATTTCCTTGCAGCAGACCTTTCCTGCCTCACTCCAGCACTAGCCCCTCCTTCACTCCTCCCCTCAACCGACCACCCCCATCATTCCCTCATCTGTTATCCACTAGCAACTCAAGCATTACAGTGTTTGTACTGCTTACTTTAACTTGTGTCCATTCTGTTTTTTATCTAAAACCAAAGCGTCCTTCCAGTATCTGCCATTCTGTTTTTCTAAGGCTAAATGACCCATACTAAGTATAGCTCTGTTTGTTTGTTTTTGTTTTATTTGCTTAAGGCATCTGAGTACAGATCATCCAAGATCTTTAAGGAAAAACCTAAGCAGGATGATGATATGGTTAAGAGTTTGATTTTCATCACCCCTAAGTAGCGAAGATCTGGGACCCACTGATCTTCCATTTCTCTTACCCAATATCATGTGCATTGTCAGATTTTTTTTTTTTGAGACAGGGTCTCACTATGTAGTTGAGACTGACCTGGAACTCACTATATAGCCCAGGCTGGTCTCAAACTTACAGTGATCCACCTGCTCCCAATTGCTGGGATTATAGGTGTGAGCCACCATTCCTGGCCAGAGATACTTTTTTGTTCGAACACATGGGATAGATGACTGTTTACACTGGTGACCAGGTCTGCCAAACCCAGAAAATGGTATACGTGGTAAGTGGTGCCTCCTACACTTCAATAGATGGTCCATACATAGCACACACTAGTGGAAGTGTGTCTGGAAGTGAGTCGGTAAAAGCTGTGCAGATTCTGGTTACAGACCCAGGTCTAACAGGATGCTACAGCTCATTAGCCTCATTACTGGTACATAATAACCAGGTGCTACCTTCAATTGAAGAAGTAGGTAGTGCCAACACTTTGGCAGTTCTGCAAAACTTTACAGATAGACTGCAGGCAAAGAAGAAAAGGATAAGGAAACTGAGGAAAAGAGGAAGAAAATATTGAAGACACAGATCTGAATGACTGGGAACCAGACCACCCTGGCCCTTTAACCCACACAGTTTATGGTTTTAGGAGTATCATAATGCATATTCTTCAGTTTGACCAAAGCATGCCACCTTGCATCTGATCCCCAACTGGCTCTTGCTCATTTGAGTGAGAGCAAATCTCCCTGTATTCCTATTCATAGACAGGTTTCTTCCAAAGTTATATTCTAAGTTTAGCCCTGTGGGGTTCCTCCATAGGGATATAAACTGAAAGATAGCTATATTTATCTAAAAGTTCTTGATAAAGGGAACAGAAAAGATAAGGATCTGCATAAAGACTCATGATTTGAGTTATCTGATGAGACCTTTTATAATAAATGATGTTTGTACATCCAGCCTAGATTCACCTGGAACAGAAGGACCACTGTCTTAGTTACTTTTCTTGTTGCTCAGACGAAATTCCTCATACCCAAAGTTAAAGGAGGAAAGGTTTATTTCAGCTCACAATTTGTAGAGGTTTTAGTCCCGTAGTTGACTGGCTCCAAGGCAGGGTGGCATGGCAGAGAGGTGTCACAGAGGAGAAATAGTCTATGGCAGGCAAGCAGAAGATAGCAAAGCAGAAAGGAGCAGCAGGGAAACATCAGAAGAAGCAGCAGCAGCCTTCTTTCTGTCCCTTTATATTCCATCCAGCCTACTTACCCTTTGAGCAGTGCCACCTATACCCGGAGTGGCACACCCGTAGGCCCCATGTGTGCATGAGATTTGGGGTTGACATCTAGATAGATACAAGCCATAACAGCCACTATATGTATTATACAATGATAAAGAACATGAAGCCTGGAACTAGGGATATATCTCAGTGACAGAGACACTTTCCTATAATGTACATAGTCCTGGGTTCAGTCCTCTGTGCCACAAAAAAAAAAGGAAACCAAGCAAAAACTGAAGATTTGGTATGCTACTTCCTAGGCCGAATTCATAAAAAAACAAAAGGAATCAAGACATTTCTGAGGAAGAAAGGAAATTTCTTTGAAAGCAAAAGAAAAAAAAAAAGGCACTGTGGATTATGCCTATAATTCTAGCTACTCATGAGGCTGAGGCAGGTGGACTGTGAGTTCATGGCCAATTTAGTGAAAACATGTCTCAAAATAAAAAGGACTTGGAATGTAGTTTAGTGAGAGAACACCTGGACTCAATTCCTAGTACCACCAAAAGACAAAAGACCAAAAAGAAAAAAAGAAAATTGGCCCTCCTGTGAATATAACTGCCAATTTAGAAGCTCACAGCACTTGCAGCAGCATCTCAGTTCTGATGATGCTTAGCAAAATAAGAAGCTAAGGAAGCAAATAAGGGAAGAGATTTTCTGGCTCAGGTCAATGACCAGGCTAACCTCCAAAATTTATCCATTTGGAAATAGCCAGCAAAATTGGGGAAGAGGGATGAAGGGACACAAGATTCGCTACATTTTCCCACAGAGGAGCAGTTCGACAGGGCTAAACCAGCTACTCCGAATGGGTTGTATCAGCCAGAACTATCCCAGTCCCTCAGCTGCCATGGAAAACTAGTCTTCTTTGGAGCATGCACCAGAAACTTACAACCTGCATCTGTAACCACAAGAGAGCATGGTCCCCACCCACAGCAGTTTGATAGCCCATGACATGCACAGAGCCAAATGCATCTGAAATACAACTCTTCAGCATCTGTTAATTTGGAGACTTTTTAGATGTTTGCAGTGTGAAAGCCTTCCCAAAATGAAAAGGACAAACTAGACCAACAGTGGCTTTTCAATGGGCAAGAGGAAAACAGCCTGCTGACCTGTGATCTCTGCAACAAAGGCTTTAGCAACATTGCTTCCTCAGGAAGCCGTGTGATGGTCCATTTAGACCAAAAGACTTACTCTTGCATTGGTTGCCCCAAATCCTTTACCCTCTTTGATTTGTTAAAAGATATGTGGGGCTGGGGAT